TCTTTATATTCTAGCTTTTAACTCCATTTTATACTTTGTATCTTTAATATTGCACCTATTATATTGAATGTATCATTTTCATAAAATTTTATAAGTAAAACTATTTATTTATATTTGTCTTTTCCTTGTTTCATTTATAATTTTTTTTTTAACTTTTCAAGTATCAATTTTAAATTATTGTAAAAAAAAAAGACTATTTCAAACTAGTTAAAAAAATGAATTTTGATGATTAAGATATTATTAGTGTTAATCTACTAAAAACAAATTAAAACAAAAAAAAATGTTATCATACTCCAATTAAAATTTACAAAACATCACCAAATATTTTTTTTATTAAAGCCCATTAAAGAAAAGGCAATAAAATTAGGTCTACACAAAATGTTCCTATGAAATAAAACCTAAGAAAAAAAGGCCTGAAATCACAACATTTAACTTTTCTCCTTCTTCCTTAAAACAATTAAATTCAAATTTTTAATTGGTTAGAACTCTACTTACACTTTTACAACTTTACTCAAACTTTTTTTCTCAAACTGTACAAACCCTAAAACCCAACTTTTGAAATTCTTCAAGAAATTAAAACTTGTGATGTACTAACTCATTCATTGAAAATGGTAAACCCAAAAGATGAATCGCTACAAAACCTTGCGAATCTTGACCATGTTCTAAAAATTTTTAAGATTTTGCATTAAAAGGATATCTTTAAAGATTTTATGTAACCAAATTGTTTCACAACAATTCCCCCCTTTTTCTACTTTTTCCTGCTATTTTAAATCATAAAAATCAATGGAAAATACATATTTTATCATTCTTTTCAACTTTTACTTTCACTCAACATTTCAATCGAATGCTTTGCAGTATACTATTTTTGCAATTATTTTTCATGATTTTGCTCTACATATTATTCCTTTTAGTTGAATTATTGTATTAGTTGTAATTACATTTTAAGCAAATGTTTCATGTTTGAAAAAAAAAATTTTAGGTTTTTCAAATAATATAATTCCTTTTGTTTCTGCTCATTACCTTCGTAAAATACATGTTTTTTTTTTTTTTTTGGCTAATTCAATACCTATTAAAAGATATAATCAAATTTCTCTTTTTTTTTTTTTTAATCTCATTTACATATAATCCAATTGAAAAAAAAAAGCCAAATTCTTGCTTTATCATATGTGCAAGCATATATATATATATATATATATATATTCTTTCCTATTTGTTTTAATGTATTTTCTCTAAATTTATCAATATAAATTTTCAATAAACTATTCATTAATTTCTATTTTATGGTTTGTTATCTTAATGTTATACAATTTAACTTTGTATATTCTAAGTTTATCAATGCTTTTTAACTAAAATAACAACTTTTTTTTCCATGTTCTATATGTATAGTTTATATTTATATAGATATATACATTCGAGATAAAAGGCAACAAACAACAATTTATTGATTTATTTTTCTATAATGATTAGTGTAAAAAGACAAGTTAATCCTGGTTAACAATACATGCATATCTCTGTTCAAATCCATGTTGACAAATTATTTCAAATAAACACTATGGTTGCAGAGACTTCCAATGGATTCTATAAAGAGACAATTGTAATATATTAAAACTTCGATAAGTATACTTTTTAAAAGTTTACTCTCTACTCATTCAAAATGTGCTTAGTTAAGATGATTGGTCATTTATGATTTAAAAATGGTTGGAAAGCTTTTATTGATGCACATTGTTTGCAATATGTTGATGTACTAATCTTGAAATACAATAACAATGCATCGTTTCATGCTTTTCTATATGCTGAGAATGGTACTGTTATCACAGGAAGCATCATTCGAGTAAAAATAAGTAATATCTTGATTTCAAATATCTTTCAATTTGTAAACAATGTGATCATCTTATGATGTTTTCTTTAAATTCTATTTTTTTTATCTTCATAGATGAAAAAAAAAGCAACTTAGGTGACTTCTTCAAATATTAGAAACAAAAGAGTGATGAGTTAATCACTGCAAAAAGGATGACCACCAAAGTTATTTATCTTGAATATACAACTTATGAGTTAGATCAGCATGTCAAAATTGAGCTTGATAAGGATGTTGATACTGAAACTGACAACCATGGTTTTGACTATCTATCATTTGAACATACTATGACAAAAACAAATGTTTAATCATCTTGTGTCTCGATAATACAATATATATAAATTGCTTTTATATAACTTCTATTACATTTAAATAATTTAAATTTTTGAATAACACATGCATTAATCATTGTTAACCATTGTTTCTTCAACTCTTTTTGAAATGCAACATATCCTTGCTGCATTCTACAAAAAATACCCTCCACCACTTGATGTCGATGTCATCTTGATGGTTCCAAAAAATTGCGTAACCTACCCTATCAAATTAGGTATTCAGCTAAAAATAAAACTTTTTTAGGTGATTGGAGAAAATTTTTGGCAAACAAACATTTAAACCTTTATGACTATTGTTTCTTTCAAATCTTTCAAAACGGCATATTTTATATTCTCATTAATTGAAATTAGATATGTGAAATGTTGGTTGATCTTTTGTGTAAACTCTTATGTTACTTTTTAGTTATTGTGTTTTTATTTTTCTTCAATGACTTACACCTACTATTTTAGCTGCATTTTGATCTTTTTGTCAACTGATTTATATACTACATATTTAATATGCTACATTTTGATATCTATTCTTGTCAACTGATTTATATACTACATATTTAATATGCTATCATTCTATTGAATATAATATGCTATCATTCCTGCGACATTGAGTGGTCAAGACTCTAGTGATTATCATAGAAACTATCAATGAAGAAATCATGAGACAAAGGGACACGTGGCAAAATGGGTATGCTTCAAAGTTAGTGCTAGAATTGATGTTGGATTGCCAAATTCTGTTGGAATTAACACGGTTTTGTTAAACCAAAATCCAATTTTCAAAACAAATCAAATGAAGCAAAGAAAATTTGAGCAAAAAAGAATTGCACAACACACGCTTGTTTTATATATATCTTGCCAAGAAGAAACAAAAATTGAAGCTTTTGATTTGGGGTAAAAAACAAAAACAAATTATTTGGGAAAGAAAACTTGAAACGAATCTCCTAATTAAGAAACAAACGTAACTTCCAAGGAAATTTCTCTAGTAGTTTAAAAGTTCTCTAGCAGTTTAAAAGTTTGTGTTTTTTAATCTTTTTGGATGTATACTTGAGTTTTATAAGTTTAATAATTTATATATTAATGTCGTATTTATTTTATATTAAATATATATAATATAAAAATTATTATATTATAATTTATATCTATCTATTAAATATAATTTTTTTATTTTTGTTAAATTTATATAGAATTTTTTTCAAAAATTTTAAACTATCATCACTTTTATATTTTTTTTTCGTGTGACCTTATCAAATTTAAAATTACAATATCTTTTCTTCTCTTTGGATAATAGTTTTATTTTCTAATTTAAATTTGGTTTTTATTTTCTAAAATTTTTTGAAAGTGAAGTTGATGGGCTACGCGCAAAGTGGTCCCAAGAGAGTTGCCTTTCAATTTCTTTTTTGTATAGGGACTTAGGACCACTAAGTGATGGTTCCATGATTTTGTTGTTAATAAAAGACTATTTCATGTATTAGATTAGGACCTGACCAACTAAAACCAGCCATTTATGTTTTGGAAATTTATTAAAATTTAAGGTGGACTTTATTTTAATTAATAAGCCACCAATAAAGAATGAAGACTCCTTAGAAGAAATAATATCTTCGCTCAACAATTATAGAATAACCCCAAAGGAATTTCTTTTAATTAATTTTTCCCTTTTACCAAGCAAATCAACATGAAATACTAACAATATTTGTGTTATCTTAAATCAAAAATCAAGCACATAATATAAAAGCAGCTGAATTCTCGCAGGATTGATGAATACATATATATATATATATATATATATAATTTTTTGGATTATGATTAAAGTTCAAATTCAATACTTTCAATTTTGGAACCGTTTCGAGTATCACTCAGCTATTTTTTAATTTGATGATTCACGAGGATGTTAAGTCCTATAAAATCAATGAATAAGAAAACATTGATTATCAAACATTTTTTTAACTCTCACTTCTATTTTCAATTGAATTGACTAAGTTTCAACAATTCTTACATTTTCATTTTATTTTCTCCTAATGATGAATATGATCACATCAAACCATCGAACCTATCCAAAGAACTATACTTGTTGGTGAGTCAAGAAAATTGATACACCAAATATTGTTTTTGATAATTAATCATGTTTATTGGGGCCAACCTAAATGATTAATTAATTTCACTTCTTTGAACAATTCCTTGTTAGGTTATTATAAATATTTTAAAGCCACTTGATTTGATTTAATTGCCTTTGGTCAAAAGACCATAAGTTGTTGCATTTCCCATTCGAAAATAGTCATTGATGGTTCTACTCTTTTTGCTCGCCACTCCAACCCAATTTTGTAAATTGTAATTTTTTTTTAATTCGAGAAATCGACAATTATTTTTTAGAAAAGAGATTATGTCAATGAATTTAGTATATAGTTTAATTGATTCATATAATCATTCTTAAAAAATGATAGTCAACAAATTTGAAATTTTAATTTTAACATCTGTAATCCCTTTCTTTATTATCAATTATGGACTTTTATGTAAAATAAATATGTAAAAAAAAAAAAATTATGTCAATCATTAAACTAAATGTTCCATTATTAGATATCTTATGACGAACTAATTTGTGGTTCTTGGCTAATTTTATTTGAATAAGAATGCAAATTTAATGTTTCTAAAAAGCTGCCATTTCATTTATTAGCAGTAAGTAAGGCAATCTAGGCTGGGATGATTTCCTCTCAATTTTTCTTTTTCTGAGAATTAAATTATTGAAAACTGGAACTGTATAAATTTGTAAATTGCAACTTTTGTACATAGTTATGGGATCAAACTTCAAAGATAAGAACAATAATCGACTAGATCATTGAATCGACAAGGAAAGGGCATGGTGGAGTAGGAACCTGGACGGCACCATCGAGCATCATTGTAACAGTCCTCATGGATGGCCTCAAAAATGGATTTTCTTGTACACACCAAATTGCCACTTTTAATAACATCTCCGCTTTCACTACATCACTTCTAGCCTCTTCATCATTTTCCACCAGCTTTGCAACTATGCCTTCACTGTAGCATTCGTATGCCCATTCTGTTAATATTGTTGCTTCCTCCATCTCAACTTCAACACATCTTCTGCAACATATGATCTCTAACAGCACGACTCCAAAACTATAAACATCTACCTTCACTGTGACTGGGGTGTTTCTGAACCACTCTGGTGCCACATACCCTTTGGTCCCTCTTATGCCGGTCAGCGTTCGAGTGTTGTTGTTGATCAAAAGCTTTGACAACCCAAAATCAGATATTTTGGCAGTAAAAGAATCATCCAATAGTATATTTTGTGGCTTTATGTCACAGTGGATGATTTGTGTGTTGCATTCTTCATGCAAGTATGTGAGGCCTTTTGCAATCCCTGATGCAATTTGCAGTCTTCGTTGCCAACTAGGCCTTAGCACTCCAAAAAGGAAGCTAGCCAATGTACCATTTTGCATAAAGTCATAGACCAGAAGTCTATTTTCACCTTCATCACAATATCCAAGTAGTCTCACCAAATTCTTGTGGTGAGTTTGGCCAATGACCTTCACTTCTGTTTTAAATTCATTTTCACCCTCTTTTGCAAACCTTTCTAATTTCTTGACTGCAACATAATTTCCATAACTTGATGGCAACTCTCCTTTGTAAACCGTACCGAAGGCACCCCTTCCTAGTTCTTCTTTGAATCTGTTTGTGGCTTGTTCAAGATCTTTGTATGTGAAAGAACGCAGATTAGTCTCCAAATCTCTTCTGCTAGAAAAACCGTCTAAGTATCGAAGTCTTCTTTGATATAAACAGAAGAAGATCAGAGAAACTGCAACTAAAAAAAAGAAGTTGAAAATTGCTGAGGTGCCTAAGATAACTGAAAGGATCAAGATAACTTGATTCTGATTTTCATTGCTTGGATTTGGAGCGGCTTGGTTTGTCCTAGAGGCATTTGACTTTGGTACCTTAAATAGAGCTGTTCTATCTAGAGCATCTCTATCAAACCACCCATTTGAAAGTGGTAACTTCTTTTTCCAACAAGTTCCACTGCCATCTGCACTTAAAGTTGGATCCTGTAAAATGGCAACTGCACAAGAACAGTCAAGAAGGCAAGATTGCCTACATTCCAACTCAGTTGCAGGTTGCAATATTCCATAGTCACTGAAAGGAAAATCAGCAAATGACATTGACTTGAACTCAAAGCGATCTTCCCTAATGGTGGATCCATCCGGCTTGCAATCTCCAGGGTAGCTTGTGTAATCTTGTTTGCAGCCCGTGTATGGATTATTTACGTCCAGGAAAGAAAATCCAGGGGGACATGTGCAACTAGGCCTCCCATTGATAGCTTCACAAAAGCTGTTATAACCACAAGGGCCATTTCCAAGTGTAGCTGTAATGTCTACAAAGCTACGACAGATGTCCCTAGGCCTGAACCACAAGACAGACCAGCTTTCACGACCACTGGGGTTCCTTGGATAAGAATAAAGAGTAAAAACTCCATAAAAATTAAGTGTTGCCCTGTAGTAGTTTGACTCCGGTTTTGGAACAGCATTTTCTGGTGCAAGGTTCAGTAGACTTCCATTTGAATTCTGGATTTGGATATACCCTGATTTGTTGAAGATCAACCGAGAACTGGTTTCGACATTTGAATTCTGGAATTGGATATACCCTGACTTGTTGAAGATCAACTGAGAACCGGTTCCAAAACTAAAATAATCATTGTAAGGTTTTCTGGTGAACATATCTATTTGATTAAGTATGAGAGATCCTTCATCGAAACGAAGTTGATATTTCCCCTTATTGTAACTTGTTTCATGCAAAGCTGATAAAAGACTGCCATCAGCATCCAATTCTTGAGTTGGTAAGATGGTATCAGTTGGATATTTGAAGCTTTCCCATATGTTGCTTGAGTTGTTGCTTGCTATCACGAAATTCCCTGTATCAAGCATGGCTGCATGTGACACTTGAGAATCATTAGTAATGCTTTCGGATCTCCACAACTCTTTGTCTTTAGCGTCTTTAAGCACAAGATGTCCGGTCCTGGTGAGCTCAACCTTTGAATCTCTATCAGTTGCTGGATTCTCTCTATTCGCATACCATACTATAGTTCTTTCCGGTATCTTAGCATACCAGATTGCAAGAATGAATAGATTTTTTTTGCCTGCAATGGGATGAAAACCAAAGGCAAAATCACCTGATGGTGATTGCCAATTCATGTTTTTATCATTTGCAGATAGAAAATCACCTACACTTATACTACGTTGAGCATGAACTGTTGCAAGAATCCCATGGATGCTTACAAGAATAAACAAGAAAGGATAACTAAGAAAAAGTGTTGAGATCATTGAATCTCTCCAATAGGAGTTCAAGTATGAATCTCAAATGTGACAAAAACAAAAACTTGGTACCGTCTGGTATGATTCTCTGCACTTTAATAGGGACTGAGCCTGTTGTTTGCTGGTTTTTTATTATCAAAGGATTCCAGGGAACAACTTCCTGGAAAGTGCAAAAAGAATAGAAATTGGCACGACCAATAGTTCTACATGTCTGCATTATTGCATATTTTCAAATGTTTTTCACAGATGTTTGATAATTTCAGACTAGGTTCAATTATTTCAAATCTTGGAGTCAGCCCCAACTTTAACGGTGAAGTAGAAATTTCTCAAACTTATTACTGACATTATAGATATTTGACTTTGATTACTAATATTTTATTTTTAAAATTTTTCTAAATTTTGGTTACCACTGTAAATAAGTCAAAATAGGTAATAAGATTATTGTAGTGAAGGCTATTTTATTCATGGAACAACTCTTTTATCAAACAGTTATTCATGGAACAACTCTTTTACATAACAGCACATTTATGGAACAACTATTGTCAGAATAAATTCTTCAAAGAACATCACCAACACCTTTATGGAAAACTCTTTCACCAAAAATTGTTTCACTAAGAATTATTCCACAAAAAATACTTCATCAAATGTTACTTTACTAAATATAGAAGTGCAAATAACCCTAGAATATGTCAAGGTTCTTGGATTAATTCTACTATTGAGATATTGCAGAGAATTCGATAGTGGATAAGATATGAAGATAGTTAAGAGGTCTTCTCTTAACTTTTCTCTTAAGAATAAGTGTTTCTCCATTTATTTAAGAACAAATAGTGAACTTCTACGTTCACTATGCCAATCACCAAAAACTAATTAAATTCCCATTAGACAATATGTTAACATATTTTGTAAAGGTCAATTTCATCATTATTCACCATTATTCTTATTCAATACTCATGTTATGTAACTCGCATTTGGAGACCTATATATAAGAGCTCCCATAATTCACATAGGAGACTTTAAGACTTTGATAGATTTTTCACAATTTTCTCTCAAACTCTGTCTACAATTCTCTCTTTCTAAATTCTTTTCTTAGCCTTCTTCTCTTCCCTACTCACCCTTGCTTCACCACCTACCGTGGCACTTAATACTTTTGAGTTTACTCCAATCTTCCTCTCTACCATCTCTCAGTACATCTTATTCTACCTGTTTGCAATGCTTTCTTACCTCAACAAAAATCTCTTCTACAGTTTAATGACTTTACATAGGAGGAACAAAGGCATTAAGTAGAACTTCACTAAAGACATGACATGAACAACTATGTTAGATATGAAAAATCCTACTGTCACAAAGATACTCAATAATGGAGTAATAATCTAGTTAGAACATTTATTCTTTCATGTTAAAAGTTGAATCAGTTACAAATATTTAATCTTTACCCTTTACAATTTTCAACTATCTAAGCATTTTTTTACTATTATTATCTAGTGCATACACATTTAAGAATTTCAATTAATTAAAAAAAACTTAAAATGAGAAAAATAAAAAACATTTATTATTCCAACAAATGTCTATTCTAATGCATGCTCCTTTATCAAATATTGCAAAAGTGATAAAAATGTTTGCCTTTCTATAACTTTAGGAAAAAAGTCATTACCCTAAACCATGTTGAGTATTTTCTCTAATTCATTACCAGAAAAAAGGCTTTTACCAACGGCATTTTTCATCGGCAATAGTCTAAATTTCATCAATAATACATTTATCGATGAAAAATTTTGTCAGTAGTAAACAAGTTGGTAATAGTAATCCATCTAATTTTCATCAGTAAATATTTTATCGATAATAATTCCATTGAATGTGTCGACAATCTGTCGGTAATGTGTCGATATTTTATTGGTAAAATTCATTGATAATCTATCGATACAATCCATCAGCAATTAATTGATAATCGATCAATAAAGGCTACTCTTCATCTATAATCCATAATCCATCAATATTACATCAGTAATTCGTTAATAATAGCCTAAATTACGTCTATAATATTGAAATTCCGTTTATAATACTAAAATTTTATCTGTAAAATTATAATTTCATTGATAATTTGATTCATTCCATCTATAATTATTTTAAAAACCTATAAATTAAAAAAAAAAACATGTTTAATTATTTTAAAAGTCATTATTTGTCTATTATTATTCATTAAAGATCAAATCCACATCATAAGGTTTATATCTACAGAAATTCTAAAATAATCCAAATTATAAATTAACATCCATAACATCATTAAAATATAGTATTGAAATCCATAAAATCCATCATACAAGTCCTAAAAAATATGTCATTATGTTGCTACATCTCTTGATCTAAAGTTTTCATTATTGTCATTAGGTCTAAAAGATTATGTTGGTGAATATTGTTTAGACCCCATCAACTGCATTATCTGATCAATGAAAGACCTAAACTCAGTCTTCAACTCATTAATTTGTTCTTATATCTAAAGCTAAGAAGACAAAATATGACGAACCACAAACTGAGTGAAATATTGTTGCTGTAACAATGAACAAACTTGAGTAAAGTAGTTCTTTAGATCTATCCATAGATTCAAAGCCATATATATGAGGGCGTGCAGCTTCAAACCCTAAAATAGCTTCAGTCCATGTGTATGGACTGAAATCTAGATAATTGAAAGTCTTCACTATATTTTTGAGATAATGTAGCACCATAATTTTTCTGCAAAAAGTTTAAAACAATTATTATTCTATTTTAACCGCATAGTTCAATAAAGTAAAACAACTTCAAACAATTTAAAACATTAAGATTTTATTACTAAATATGCAATAATTTTTACCTTTCACAAAGTTACTACATCTAAATATGCACAAAACATTATCTAGTTTAATACTGAATTTTCAATAATTTTTGGCTTTCAATTACTATAAAGATAGTTCATCAATAATCACAACACAAAACTAGAATCACAAAGTAAAATACGCAAACCTTTCATAAAGTCACTACATCTCAATACACATAAAAGACCATCTAGTTCAATACTAAATTTCCTACAATGTTTAAGGTTTCAATTACTATAAAGATAGATCATCAACAATTACAATACACAATCATAATCACAAAGCAAAATACCTAATAGTTTTCACCTTTTGAAAATGTGATCTCATCACAATACACGTAATATACTATCTACTTCAATAAAGAATTTCCTATAAATTTATTACTTTGAATTACTATACAAGTAGTTCATTCACAATCACAATACATAACCAGAATCATAAAATAAAATACACAACAGTTTTCACCTTTCATAAAGTTTTTGTATCTTAAAACACACAATATATTATCTATTTCAATAAAGCAAGGTAACAATTTGAAAGTATTCACAAAGTCATTGAAAAGTCAAATACACTAACAAATTTGGACTTATTGTCAATGAAATTACCATATCCTTCTGAATGTTTATGAGTACAATTGAAAACTTCTATAAATGTGAGTTTTCGTTGCAATTCAAGTGACAGAATTTGTTTAGAGACATATTTAATGAAATATGTAACAATACAATTTATATTTCGTAAATAAACCACCCTTTTTTGTACAAAATTTTTTACCAACAAAATATTCTTTCAGGAATTCCCATGCCAATTCTCACAAAATATGTACCTACGAAATAACAATAGATCCAAATCCATTGATATTCCGTCAATGATTTTGGATTTTTTTATAATTATATTCTATCGATAATCCATCAGTGGTTAGCGAAGGAATAATTTCGTTAGTAAAATTTCATTGATGATTCTATAATTTCTAGTTTAGGTTGTACATGAGATTAATCTTTAAAATCAAATTGAGATATAAAGTTGTTATAAACTGTGTTGAATTCACTTTTATTTGCCGTAATTTAACAATTCATGCTTTGAAATCAAATTAATCTCTTTGGTACTAAATTGAGAAAAAATTATCCTCTTAATACATAGTGGAGTTTGATCTTTTTCTTTCCAAGTTGAGAATTCACCTTCTTAGTATAAAATTGAAAATCACTCCTTAGCTGCAGCTTTATCGCTCATTCTTTGGTTGCTACTTTATAATTGATACTTGTTATCAAATAAACTTAATTAGTACCAAGTTGAGAATCATCTTTTTCTTATAAATAGAAAAATTGTTCTCTAACCGCAGCTATAATGCTCATTCTTTGGCCATAACTTTATTGTTGATACTTGTTATCAAGTGAGCTCTCTTGATATCAACTTGAGAATTATCTCTCCTATAAATTAAGAATACAATTATTGGCTATAGTTTTATCACTTATTTCTTAGTCTCAATCTCTTAAGTACTATGATGTAAATTATTTTTCTTGATGCTTTTGGTCGCAGCTTCAATACTTTTATTTGGATTGAACATCTCCATTATATTGGGTTGAGAAGTTATCTCCCTGACATGAAGTTAAGAGTTCTCCTTGACTATACACACAATTATATTAGTGTTACTATTATACACCTTACCTACCTCATAAGTGGAGATATTACAATTATATCACATATTTTTATATGCAAGAAGCTAACTTTGCTACAAAAACAATCTGTACATAATGCTTAAAACTCTTTGGAATAGTCCATATCTAATCCACCAAGCCAAACTCTCTAAAACATCATAATAGTGGAATTAACTCAAGAATCCTGTTATATTTTGAGGTTATTTTCACTTCTTCTTTTGGTAAAGTATCTTTTGTGGAATAACTCTTAGTGAAGCAACTTTTGGTGAAAGAGCTTTCAATAAAGGTACTAGTGTTGTTCTTTAAGAAAGTTATTTTGAGAATAGTTGTTTCGTGAAAAAGTTATTCATTAAATAGTTGTTCTATAAACAATTGTTCTATGAAAGAGTTATTTTTGTAAAATAACCTTCACTGAAACAATCTTATCACCTATTCTGATTTATTCTTAACTTTAACAACTTTATAGAATTTAAAAAATATATATTAATAACCAAAGGTCTCTTCTGAATCCTTCTTTAAAATATGAGTGCTTCTTTTTTTCTTTCAGAATAGATAGTGAACTTCTATATTTATTATGCCTATCATCAAAAGCTAATTATACTTTCATTAATTAATACATTAACCTCTTTTGTAATGGCCAATTACCCCATTATTCACTATTAGTCATATTTAATATAGTAATACCTTTTAAAACTATCATTTTCACCATTATTATTATTCAATACTCAAGATATGTAATTCTTATTCTTGAAACTTATAAATAGGATTTTTCACAATTCATTAAGGGATCTTTTGGAGACTTTTTGCAAATTTACTCAATTCTATCTGTAATTCTCTCTTCCTAAATTCTTTTCTTAGTTTTATTCTTTTCCTTACTCAGCCTTGCTTCACCATCTGCTACTGCACTCAATATTTTAGGGTTTACTTTAGTCTTTCTTTTCACCATCTCCCGACACATTGTGTTCTATTTGTTTGCAATGCTTCCTCACCTTAACAAAGAACCATTTTACACTTTTTTATTGTTACTACATTACTCTTATATACAAGTTCTTAAAAAAAATGACAATTGAAATACCTTTCATATTTTTTGTTTAATTTGTTAAACTTCTTATGCAACACCTCAATAAACTTCGCATTACTACTCTAAAAGATGTTTCACTCATACTTGATACTTGTGTATCACTTCATGAATTTTTTTAAAAAAGCTCATTTCATGTGTTACTTTGACAAATGATTCTAAAAAATGTTTCTTATTCAATATCTTAAAATGTCTTATATGTGTAATTTTCAAGAATTGCTTCTTTCATATCCTCACACAACATAAAAAAAAATCATTTTTAAAAAATATTTTACTATTCATTTTACTTTATAGTACAAGTATTTCTTAAGAAAAGCATCCCATGTATTATTCTAAAAGTTTTTTATCATAAGAAATTTTTCATAAATCATCCCAATAAAGTGTTGTCAATTGCCACCCTAAGAAGCATTTCTCATTTTTTCTTTTGGTGTACTCTTGTAATAACTTAATAAGTATTCCACATGTATTTTTCTAAAAGTTGTTTTTTATTATTCAAAAGAATTTTAAAAATATTTATGTGTATTTTTAAGAGATGCTTCTTATGAACACTTCTCATTACCTATCATTTTAAAAAAAAAAATTATTTCTCATTCATACTTCTATATTAAAACACTTTTTTACATCTAAATGATGATTCCTTAAAACTAATTTATCATATATTGTTTCAAAAGTATTTTCGCTTATAATTTCTTAAAAGTACCTCTCTCACACTCTTACCAAGGATTGTTTCTACATTTCAAGGGGTGATTGTCAAGAAACACATCTTATTTATTTATGTATAATTCAAAGAAAATCTACCTAAGAAACATTTGTTACCTAGCATTCTTAAAAAAAAATTCAGCATGCTATTTCAAAAGTCACTTCTTATGCACTCTTTAAAATGTACTTAAAAAAAATTATGATGTACTTCCATGTTTCTTTTAAAAGAGCTCTTTCTATATTGTTTCAAGAAATACTTCCTAACATTCAAAACAATATTTTTCTTTAAAAAGTATTCTTTGAGCACACTTCCAAGAAATGTTTTCCATGAAAAATTTTTCATTCATCATTCTTTAAAAAATGATTCTCATACATCACTCTAAAAAGCTTTTCTCGTTTTTTAAAAAAAAAAATCTCAATTTGCTAGCACATCACTTTAAGAAACGGTTCACAAGCAAAACTATTCTTTTAAAAAAGGCGATTCAAGTTGTCATGCAGCTTTTCAATAATATTATTCATTTTTTTAATTCTTTGCATGAAAGATTCCTTTGTTAATTTAAAAACAGAACTTTTATGCAAAGGAATACTCTATAAAAAAATGAAGTTCTAAGTGAGTTCAATTTTTTGAAATTTTTAAATATACATTTTAGCAATTTTATTTTAATTTTTTAAAAATAAAAAAGTAAAAAAATTTCCTGGCCGATAGGACACTAAAGGTTGCTATATATACTCTTGATAAAATTAAACTTTTCATATTTCACTTTTATTAGTTTCTCTCACTTTGATTTTAGTATTTATTACAAACACATTTCCTACTTATTTTTAATAGTTTCTTTGACTTTGACTCTAATGTTTGACAGATAAAAATTTACTTGCAACAACAATTGGAAAGCAAACAAAGTGAACGTGAAACATGACAAAAATAAAAAAAATGGTTAACAAATGAGTATGACCCATCCTCTTTCTAACCTTTGTGCATAAGGTAGGCCTTTGCGCGTAAGGTAAGACATTGCACCTGAACAATTTTTTTTATAATATTTGCTAAAAATATTAGCTATCTTGATTTATTCTAGAAAAATAAAACTGATGTTCATTACTTGTTCTCCTACGGAATACTTGATTTTATTTTACAATACTTGTTTTCTTAATTTTTAGAAAAGTATTCTTTTGACTTACTTTTTTTATTTTTAAAAAAATATTTTCATTACTTGTTTTACTAGTTTTAGGAAAATATTCATTTTACTTGTTCTCCTATTTTAAAAAAAAAACGTTCTCATTACTTATTTTTATATTTTTAAAAAAAGCATTTCTATTAATTATTTTTCTATTTTTTAGGAAAAGATTTTCATTACTTATTCTATTAGTTTTTTTGGGAAAAAACTTCCATTACTTGCTTTACAATTTTTTTAGGAAAATACTTACATTACTTATTTTCATATTTATTAAATTGTTCCTTTTGATAGTTATTTTATTTTTTAGGAAAATACTTTCATTAGTTGTTTCTTTTGATTTTTTTTTTCTTATTTTTTAGGAAAACACTCTTATTATTTGTTCTTTTTTATAATTCTATTTTTTTTTAGGGAAATGCTCTCATGAGTTTGATTAGGATATTAGAATCTTATAAATCCCAACCTTTACAAAAGAATTTCTACAACATGTAGGAATATGCTTCAATCTTATTAATATCAAGTCGACAAGCTGCTTAGGATTTAAATGGAAAATTTTTATAAATTTTTATATAATCTGTTGTTCTTCTCTCTCCATATGTAAAAAGATAAGCATTCAAAATAATGTTTAAAGTAATGAAAATCAAGGATTTCTTGTAGCTTTCTTACGGTCCATCTCTAAAAACCCATTTTTTGTTGACAAAACAAGTTGCTTTTTAAAACTATGTTTGATTATTTCAGCTATTTAGAGCATTGGTTAAGCAAGTATCAAAGAAGTTGAGCAAGTTATCTCATAGAAAAATTCTAACATAAATAGATTTTGGCTTGCTTTACCAACCATCAAATATCTTTTCTAATAGCCTATCAAAGATTTACATACAAATCACCGGATGGTTGGCTAAAGTGATAAAAAAAAAAGTGTGCTATCTTTATTGTTTGGATTCGAATATGCTGGGAATCTATGGGAACGTAATTTCACATAAATTTACTCGGCTTGATGTAAATAAACCTACTTGAATTGACTTGGAGAGAGGATATACCAGATGAAACCCAATAATCCTCGGCTATTAAGTTAAAAAAAAAAATTTATATACAAATAGATAAAGTTTAATACCCAAATAAACTCTTAAACTTTACTTCAAAATGCAAACAAGTCATTGATCTTTTATTACATAAAATTAAGACTGCAAATTTTTATTTATTGTAAATATACTTGTTAAATCTTAAAATTAGATGAATAAATCCAATTGATTGATTTTTTTTTAAATAGTATTCTCTTAAATATTTCTTATATATATATATATATATATATATATAAGAAACACAATTGGCTACTAAAACACTATTAAACATAAATACTACAACCAATCTTTATATATGTCAATCTTTTTTTTTACAAATAAGATCGTAGTTTAAAAATAAGAAAATAATTGTAAGTGTTAAAATTTAAATTTTAAACTTGTTAAACGTCATCTTTTTAAAATAGCTACATAAATAAACTATACTATACTCTCTTTTTTTTTCCAACAACCATTTTTATCCATCTGGTGACTATGCTTGACAATGGATTAAGAAATTGTAAATTTATTGCAAATCCAAACTCTCAATATAATTTATTTCGTTCAGTCATGTTTAGCTATATATTCATTTTGAAATCTTTAATTTGTTGTATATATTTTAAATATATTTTTTTATCAATATTTTTTCTATTTCAGTTTGTAAACAACCATCTATCAATTAAAAAATCTCTCATCTTTTTAACTTTTATTTTAACCAACAAAATTGTTTTAGCCTACGAAATTATCAGAACTTATTGAATTTTTTGATCTATCAAAGACCACTTTATTCTAGTTTATGAGCTATAGTAGTTTTATGCAAACGTTTTTTAGATTTTTTTTTTTTATTCGAAGCGGCCAAATACTAAACTTTAATTGTTAAAATTAAAATTTTAATGTTCTATTAATAATTTTTATACTTGAGATTATCAAATGTTAAAACCTGATTATTAAAATTAAATATTAAATATTTTTACTAATAAATAGACTTGATAAATTTAAAAACATTTGATGATATAATACAAAAAAATATATAAAATTTATATAATTTAAAATTTTAATAAAAATTATATATATTTAATAAAAATTAAAAAATAAATTTCATGTTTGACGTTTTAATTTTTATATTTTATATATTTAATATTAATAATTAAATATAAATATACAAATTATCAAATTTATTAATAAATCACATTACTATTATTATAGTGCTGTTGATATATTACAAATGGATTAATATCTTGAATAGTTAATGCATGTGACATTAATTTCCGTACAATCAAGGTTTAAAAAATCATTAATTTCAGTTTTATTTACTTATTTATTGTGAAAAGCCAAGAAACGGTAAGTAACGGTTTCAATAACAGATTCTGGTGAGAATCAATTAAAGCACATAAAAATATCAGGGAGCTGAATCAACGAGGGGAACCTATCCATTAGTAGATAAAACCCATTAATGCATTTAAATGACCACCACTTGCTCCATCCTAAGCAGGATTGTCCGTACTCCCAACTCCATCGACTCAAGTTTTGCAGCACCTGATATGAAAATTTATTAAAACTCGTTAATGTATTTTTATAATATTTTATATAAAAATTATGTGTAATAATTTATATTTAATGTAAAAATATAAAATATTTTTTTTAATTTTTAATTTTATGCATGATTTTTGATAAAATTTTGAGTTATATCAATTCTTTTTTATATCAAGATGTTTTAGATTGCCAAGTTTTATTAAAACCACGATCTTTACTTTAGCACATGGTTTCTCTGAGATTTTCCTATAATCTGCTTAACCTGTTATTGGTACCCATTGCCTTTTTTAAGGCAACTGACAAGCCAAAGAAATCCCTTTATTACATGTAATCTACTGGTTTAAACATTGGTAGAAATTTGGCTATGGCCAACCAATGTCTCTATTTCCAGTTGACTATGGTTTGCAGACAACTTGCCAGGGTTCTTCCTCTAATGCCCAATTGGATTTAACCCAAATTCAGTCTTCAGTCTTCCGTCTACAGTCATTGGTCTGTAGCCAAAAGTTTTGACTAGTGAGAATTGGATGACTTAAATCAGCATTCAATATAGAATGCAGATACACACAACCTTTTTTTTTTTCTCATTTTTTGGGCTCATGTTGGAACTTGAACATCCCACTTACCTTTATTTTATTGTTATTTTTATTAATTTCATTAGGTATATTTTAACCTCTCTTATTGTCTTCACATGTTTTTCAAATTGGGTTAACATGTGATTTACCTATGGAATAATATTATTTTTCACGATTTGATATTTATAAAAATATTCATGATTAAGTATTTGATAAAAGAGAAAAAATTAAGAAAATAAAAAAATAAATTAAAATTTTAGTGTTCGATTTGATTTGAATCAAGTTTTATTTATTTGATTTGGATTAAATTTAAATATTAAGTATATATATTAAGTTTAAATTAAAAAATAAAAAAAAAAAAAAATGAATCAAACCAAATTATATATTTTTATTAATTTTTATATATTTTTTTAATTTTATAAAATAAAACTAATAATTGTATATCAAAATCTATTTAAAGATTAAAATTTTATATTAAATTAATACATAAAAAACAAAAAATTAAATTTCAAAAACTAATAAAATTGAATTCAATTTGAATCGAATCAGATTATATAAAGTTTAGTCCATATTGGATTCTAAAAATTCATAATATTATATAATATTTAAAAAATTAAATCGAATTCAATCTGATTCAAACCATTATCACTTCTAGTATTCGAAATTTGTTTTTATAAAGTATTTTGCTTCATACACTAGTTCTATTAATGGTAAGCTATCATGGTAAAAAAATAATAAATAATATCATAACATGTGACACATTTTTATTGATTAATATTTATCAAGTCAACAGTTTAATTATTGATGTAAGTTACTTAACTGAAACAAAATCCGGATACATAATCATAAATTTTTTTATAGGTATCATATCATTAAAAATAATATATTAACTCTTTCAAATTATGGATTTTGGTATATTGTCCACAAACTAAATCTTGTCCTCATTAAAAGCAACTTTAGGCATCAAAGGCAAAAGAGTAGGTAAGCCTTCTAATTTCTCGTGACCAAAACATGCAAATGATGGAAACTCTTCTACAAAACCACAAATTTATTGTGATTTTGGGTCTTCTCACCTAATGCCATTAATATTTTGTTTTAAAGAAGTTTTAGCTTCTAACCTCTTGTGTACTAGGGTGTTTCATTATGTAATTATAGCATGAAACGCAATAAGAAATTGAATTAATGAAAATATATCATCAAAATCATAAATAACATCCATGATTGATAATCATGACAACGTTAATTCCTTGATTATTTAGCATGTTCTTTTTTCATTAAAAAAAAGGTTTAGCATTATTTTTTATTAAAAAATGATTAAAATTTTTGCTAATAGTGTTTAAGGACACTTATTAAAATTAGATAAGATACTATTTATAATGATATTTTTATTAATTTTAATGTTAAATTTTTTAGATTTAATAAATAATCTAACCATTTAACTCTATTACTTTTAATGATTTAAAGTTTATAAAAAAAATTATGATTAAAAATCTAAACTTTATTTTTGTCGAGCGTTTTGTGCTATTAATTAACACTATTAATTAAAATATTGATGTGATAAATATTAAAAAACAAAGATATATCACGTGTTATGATATAATTGTTTTCTTTATTACATTAACTTATCATTAATAGAATTAATGTATAAAATGAAATTGACAAAAACAAAATTCGGATAACTAATCATAATTTTTTTATATATATCAAATCATAGAAAATAGCAAGTTCATAAATTAAATCACACATTAATTCAATTATTAACCATAACAAAATTCAATAACTAGTAGGCCCATTTATCAATTATAGAGGGCAGCTCAAATTAAAGCTTTTTTCTTTCATTTTTCTAGTGTCATTTCATTTCCTTTGAGAATCTAAAATCCGTTGCTAATTTGTGCATGCTTAAGTCTAGCTTTGGTCCTTAGCCTCATAAATGCCGCCCTGCATTTCTTGACTCTATAAATGCTTGTATTTACATCACAAACTTCCCCACTCTTTTTACAACCAACCCTCCCTTTTGTTTCTAACCATTCAAGCGACGTTTTCACTCTTCTTCCTTCTCTGTCCCCTTTTTAGATCTTTTCCAATGCTAAAGGAGTGGTTTCCAGGCATACCTGAGGTGGTTTTTAGGTGTGGAGAAGCAGTTTCTTGTTGGGTTTTTGCTGCGATGAGAGATCTTGGAATTGGGTTATTGATTAGCATGTTGAAGAGAACTGTGCTTGCTGCTTTCACCTGCATTTTTGCATTGGGTATGTTTTCTATGATCAAATTTCTGTTCAACAGTACTATATGTTCCCTTGAGTTTTTCGGCTGCTTGGGTTCATCAATAAAGTCACCTGCACTTCAGTTTTTACATTTTTGGGTATTTGAAACCGTGGATTTGAATCCTGATCACTGGCAACACTTCAGTTTTGTACATTCTTTTGGAATTTGAAATTGTAGATTTGGGGCTGATCACTTAAATTAAAAGTCATTTCAGTTATACCTACCTATTTTCTTAGCATCAAAACAAAAGATACCAATTTCATGATTGAAATCTCTGTTTCAACTAGAAATCCTGTAGCATTCTTAGTTTCTTCTAGATGGCTAATTAATACATTAGTAATTTTTGCAGATTGTTAGTTACATCTTGGAATACTCACTTACATCAAAATATTAATGTAGAGTTGTACCATTGATCTTGGCCTATGGAGCAGATTCTATTTGTTGACTTTTTTTTTCCATGAAAATAAATCCATAGACAAAGTGAACTGTAGTTTTGCTCACGGCCTACCCTGGCTAATTGTCTCTAACAATGGGAAAGTTTGTGCAAAGTTTCTATCTTCCATCTGTTTGAACTCAAACATGTTTGGTTTTTTAGGAGGTGCAATAGTTGGAACCGTTGTAGGAGCAATGAAAGGCCAGACAACAGAAACTGGGTTTTTAAGGGGAGCTGGAATTGGTGCTGTTGCAGGTGCTATCACAGCTGTTCAATTGCTGGAATCGTTGGCTGATGGAGAGTCATTGTCCAAGGTACAGTAGTATTTGCTGATGCAATCTGAGATATAACTTCCAGATTTACCACATTTGAGCATTGCATTAATTTCATCCTTCACTAGTGACATTCAAGTGGAAAATTGCTTTTTAGGTTAATATTCTGACCTGTATGAAAGAGTACATAGGACCCTTATTTATTTACAAAAGACTTTCAGTCTTTCATTGATTAAAGAAAGAATCTCATAAGATATGGCAATCATAGATATCATAATCTAATAATACTTTTGATTACGTAATTATAGAATATTACCTCTAACAATTGCATTTTTAGCTATGCATCTGGTGTAATGTACATGGAAAAACTTGTTAATTCCTTGTTTAATTTTCTGTTTTACAGGTAGCCTTATTAGTTAGCTTAGTAAATGGTAAGGTCTTCATCGAATGGGTAAGTCCAGCAGTGCTAAAAGCTTATCAATGGCAAGTAAGTAAAATTCTCAGTAGCCAAACAAAAATTATAGGTTTTTTTAAACATTGGGATTTTGGTTCACTTTATATCTAATGTGGAACCTGATGAAATTTCAGATGAACTCACTAGAATCGACATACAGAGAAATCTCAGACATATATGATGTAAATGGAGCAAGGGGTCTGTCTAGATGTTGCATTCAAAAGCTTCCAGTGCATGAATTTCATTCCAGTGAGATGATCAGGGAGGAATCTTCTTGTTCCAATTTGCTTACGAGTAAGAACAATGACTTATGATCAAGGTTTCAAGAAGATCAAAAAAATGAGAAAAACATGCTTTTTTAATCAGATTACCAGTTCAAATGAGATGTTTCTATATGTTTATAGGGGCTTAAGGATGGAGAAATTGCAAGAAATCTTCCGCAAATGTGGCCACATCTTCCATTTAAACTGCAAGATGAATGGCTAAGCGGGCAAGGCACTTGTCCCATGTGTAGAGAACATGTTTTTAATGATGCTGAGGAATTGTAAATCATCAAACTTTTAATTCACCAAAAAAAAAAAAAAAAAAACAAAGCTGGTGAGTGGTTTCTGAATGGTGCCAATGCACAATTTGAAAGGAAAATGAATGATGGAATGTGATGCAAAAAGAAACTGTTGTATATATAGACCATTGCAAGGTTTCCTAGCAACTTTTGTTTGAGCATTGGTTAATTTTTGTCGTTTCAAAACAGAAAAATACTAAGAAAAATTATGAAAAATAAACAGATTTAGAAAAAGGTTTTGGCCATTG